GGAGTCACTGGACGCTCTGACAGGGGCTTGCTGGTTTTCCACTATGGATCTGGCAAGTGGGTATAACCAAGTCCCTGTCAGCGAGGGAGATAGACCTAAGACCGCTTTCTGTACCCCGTTTGGGCTGTTCGAGTGGAATCGGATGCCCTTCGGGTTGTGCAATGCCCCCTCCACGTTCCAGCGGCTTATGGAGCGACTGTTTGGAGACCAGCAGTGTCTGTCGCTATTGTTATATCTAGACGACATTGTTGTGTTCTCCACTTCAGTTTCTCAGCATGTGGACAGGCTGGAGCTTGTCCTGGGCCGTTTGGAACGTGAAGGACTGAAGGCTAAATTGGAGAAATGTGCCTTTTTAAAACCAGAAGTAAAATACTTGGGGCATGTAATTTCGTCGCAGGGGGTAGCCACCGATCCCAGCAAAATTGAGGCGGTAGTCAATTGGCCATGTCCCTCTAGCGTCACCGAGCTAAGATCCTTCCTTGGGTTGGCCAGCTACTACAGAAGGTTCGTAGAGGGATTTGCCAAGTTGGCTGCTCCTCTGCATAAATTGGTTGGTGAATTTGCTGGGTTAAAGGGAAAGCAGATGGCGAAACGGTTTGCTAGTGCTTGGACAGAGGGCTGTAATGAAAGTTTTGCAAGGTTGAAGGAAAAATTAACCACCACTTCTGTGCTTGCCTATGCAGACTTTTCCAAGCCATTTATTTTGGAAGTGGACGCTAGCTATCAGGGGCTGGGGGCCGTCCTCTCTCAAGACTTTGAAGGAAAGGTGAGGCCGGTCGCTTACGCCAGCCGCAGTTTAAGGCCCACGGAGCGCAACATGTCCAATTACAGCTCAATGAAGTTGGAATTTGTTGCGCTTAAATGGGCCATGACGGAGAAATTCCGTGAGTATTTGTTGGGTAATAAGTGTCTGGTATTCACAGATAATAACCCCCTTAGCCACTTGACCACTGCAAAGCTTGGTGCTGCAGAGCAGCGCTGGGCTGCACAGTTGGCGGCATTTGATTTTGAGATCAAGTATCGTTCCGGTAAGGCTAACCGAAATGCTGATGCACTTTCACGAAGAGACCCTGTTGTGCCGGGTACTTTGGAAGGGGTGGCCCCAGGCACGATTATCCCGAAGTCATTGCGGCGGCTAACTGAATTGGGGTCTAGTGGGGTGGCCACTCAGTGTGTGATTTCGACACTACCTGGTTATTCTGCTGTTGAATTGAGCTTGTTGCAGGCAGCGGACCCCGTGATCCAGGAAGTCTTGCCGTTTTTGAAACGACGTACTCGTCCAAGCTATGAGGAACGTCAGCATCTAACAAAGTCAGCCCTGATTCTACTTCGACAGTGGGATCGGTTGATCGATAGAGAGGGAGTGCTTTATCGGCGGGTTTATTACCCTAATGGTAAGGAGGAAGCTTTTCAACTAGTTTTGCCTGAAACCCTGAGATCCGAGGTCTTAGAACAGCTACATCATCAACATGGCCACCAGGGCATAGAGCGCACCACAGAACTGGTACGACAGAGGTGCTACTGGCCAGGACTAACGTCTGACGTGGCTCGTTGGTGTCAGGAGTGCGAGCGTTGCCAGGCCGCTAAGGATACACGGCCTGTAGCTAAAGGTTTCATGGGGCGGTTGTTGTCCTCCAGGCCAAATGACATCCTTGCGGTCGATTTTACTGTATTAGAACCAACTAGTACAGGTATTGAAAATGTCCTAGTAATGACGGATGTTTTTAGTAAGTACACTCTTGCTATCCCCACAAGAGATCAGCGTGCAGAGACTGTGGCTCGTGTACTGGTTAATGAGTGGTTTTACCGGTTTGGGGTCCCCGGGCGCATCCACTCTGACCAGGGGCGAAACTTCGAGTCACGCCTAATACGTCAGCTGTGTGATTTGTATGGTGTAGAGAAGTCTCGGACTACACCGGCCCATCCAGCTGGCAATGGCCAATGTGAACGTTTTAACCGCACCTTACATAACCTGTTGCGCACTCTGCCTTTTTCTAGGAAGCGAGACTGGGTGGCTTGCCTTCCCCAGGTAGTGTTTAGCTATAACAGCGCCCCTCATCAGGCTACTGGGGAATCGCCTCACTTCTTAATGTTTGGCCAGGAGCCGAGGTTGCCTGTCGACTTTCTGTTAGGCCGGATACCAGAGCCACAGGAGGGCAGTGTGCATGAATGGGTTATAGAGCACCAGACCCGACTACAGGTAGCCTTTGCAGGAGCACGAGAACGGTTACGAGACATGGCTGATAAGCGGTAGGCCCAACACGATCGCACCGTTCGTGATGAGCCACTGGGGGAGGGTCAACTAGTGTACCTCCGTGATTTAGGGATAAGAGGTCGCCACAAGATTCAGGACCTGTGGAACCCAGTTGTTTATCAGATCACCAGGGCGCCACCAGAGGGTGGTGTGGTGTACACCATTGCACCAGTAGATGACCTATCCAGGACTAGGAACGTCCATCGCTCCCTCTTAAAACGCAGAATAGCCCACTGTACTGGTGAGCTTGACCACCCTAATCCTCTGCTAAATCCAGTTAGAGATGTCCCGTCATTGGTGGAGGAGGAAGTAGATTTGGTGGTGGTAGTACCTGGTCAAGGCCCAGTTGTACTAGGCCAGAACCTGCAGAACTGCCCTATACTCCACCTCGTGCACAACAGGAAGAGGTAAGTCCCGGGGAACAGGGATCTATTGTGGGGCCGGAACCAGAGGTTCCTTTAGGTGGGTCAGATAAGGCTATGGGGGAGGTTTTGCGTCGAACGGGGCGTGTTACTGCAGGCCGTCATCTGAATCCCCATCACCTTCCACGTTCAGTGGGGCAGACTCGAGGAGCCTCTCTTCAACAAATGCATGTCAGTAGGCTGGACCTCTTTAGACCTTGGGATTAGCAATTTTGCCTTGGCGGCGAGCTCGTCGGGGCGACGATCCAAAAGTGGGGGGTGGATTGTAGTGGGATCACCTGGTGTTATCACAAGTGATTTTTCTATTAGCCAATCGTATAACTCTTGGGTGTGTATATAAGGGAGGATTTGGGTGTGTGTTGTGTACTGAAGCACCGCTTGTGCGTCACTACCGGAGTCCCGCTGGTCCCGCCTCTGCCCCTTCCGTTCCTGCAGGTAGACATTGTTTTGCTTTCCCTTTAGCGTCGGGTTGCATAGTGGGTTTTAACTGGCTGTATTTAACTTCTTAGCATCTGCGGATCAGATTGGCTGTAGCCTGTGTTGCTGTCACCCCAGCTGGATCGCTTTTGTAATTCCTGGGCTGTGTTTTAATCTACAACTGCGTCCGTGAGTGCGGGTTGCTAAGTGACTTGCATACTTGAGGTATGTACGTACGCTTTTAATAATTATCCGCCGATCTGTCCAGCGACTTAATGTCTTGTCCTTTTTAGGAAGAATAACTGCGTGGGCACGCCGAGGGAGCAACATTAGTGATATTGCTGCTTTTTACGGACCGCTGTCTTTTTACAGACCGGTGCTTTACAGACCACTGCTTTCTAGACTGCTGCTTTATAAACTGCTGCTTCATACTGCTGCTTTACAGACCACTGCTTTCTTTTTAACCACTATTGATCGCTGATTTGACACGTACGGCTGCATATTGCTGCTTTGAGTCCGTTTGCTGTGTGCTTCTCATTTTCTGATGCCGGATTAATGTGCGAGCCTCAACGTAAAAGATGCCTACTATAGAGCTGTGAATAACAGACTCAAATTGCCTTCACATGGAGTACTTGCACACGAGTAGTAGCCGATACATTTTTAGTGCGTGGATTCATTTTGTGCTTTTTGGGTTTCATTATTTTTCTTTTTGTACCTAATTCATTGTGTGATTTGTGCTTCCTGTGGGAAGTTTATTCTTTTTGAGTTAATTGATTTATTATTTACTGTTTTTTTTAGTTTCTATTGCAAGGAGATTTTTATGAATCTCTCTTGGGGAATTTCTGTGTTCTTTTGTGTAAGATTGTGACTTTACAATTGTTAATTGTCATTTTTGTTTTGTAGGAGCTGAGGCTTCCAGGCAGGCCGTTAGTTGTCCATCGTGCGGTGGTGGGATACGACACTGAGTGCAGTGTGTGTGTTGTGTGCTCACGTATGCTTGTGTGCGTGTGTGTGGTGCACTTGCGGTAAGACCATTTGTAATTTTGTAGAGTTTGGTGCTACGTAACTAGCTTACCTGCCACTGGTAAGCCTCTACTCCTCCTCCTGTTGTTATTGTGTGTTATTTATGTGATTGTGCGGCTACTATCAGCTATCAAGCTTTTTAAAAGTGATTTATATTGGATAATTAAGGAAAATAAAGTATTTTTGTATTCTTGGTATTCACGTCTCATGCCTTTTCTTCACACAAAGAACCTGTGTTAATTTCCCTGTGATCAGGGTGGCGTAGTCAGCTTTAATTTAGTATTTTTCTCCCAACTTACCGCTCCGCTACATTCATATATATATATATATATATATATATATATATATATACATACATACATACATAGTACATTTTTTACTGTGGCTGTAATGCATTTCAGTTTTCAGACAAGAAGCACCAATAAATGTAATACAGGCAAAACTGAAAGTAGCTGCATTGTTTTTTTTAAACTGCAAGCATTAGATCTTGCTCTGCGTATCTTCTATTCCATTGTTCTTAAGCACATTACCAACAGATGCAGCAACATTTCCATAAGTAAAGCCAGATTGCAGTAAGGGCAAACATGGAGGACAAGGCCCAGCAACCTCGAGAGTGCTTAGGCAGGCATCTCCATGGACGCCCGCTGTCTGAATACACAATGACTTTATTTGAAGAGAAATGGTGAAGGAGAATGTATATTACACTTCCATCACAGCAGTGATTATGCAGAAGCTCACAATTACTTGCTGAGCTTTCTTTGCCACTTTATATTGGATTTTTTTGGATAAATTCTCAGATAGAAACGAAAAGACACATTTTCCTATTTAGGATTTGTGCCGTGTTTTGCATTTTGGCAACATATTTTTATATATGTTTATACAACATATTATTTTATATTTTTTTTTACAGTTATTTATTTTTTTCTTTTCTGTCAGTGCCATGCCTACCGTCAAGCTCAAGCCCTTTCAACCTTGCATTAGTCTGGGTGACTTTGCCCATCGCCAGGGGCAACCAGTGCCGTCCACTGAAACACAGAGTGCCGGAACTCACACAGAGAGGGCAATTCAGCAAAGATCTGAGGTGATATTAGCCAAGCAGGCTGTGGTAGATCTGGCTAACCAAGCATACAACCATTCTCTGAGCTCTATAAAAACCCGCAGAGAACAGATTTGAATACTTTACTGTGCTTCACAACTGAGGCCGAAGAAAAATTAAGCGTTTGTATGTGACCCTGGACCACAAAACATGTTAAAAATTTTAAAAATTAAACTTTCAGGTGATAAAATCTATAAGTACCTCAATAAAAATACACCTATAACTGGTTTTCTTTTGTATAAGAGAACATTTTCTTTTTTTTTTTTACTAGATTTATGTGTGGCGGTTCATTCCGCTGTCAATGACTGTCCAAAAGAGCTTTATTTTTTAGCTTTATTCATTTATTTTATCTATTGTGATTGAAAATAAGGATTATTTCACCAAACAGTGCTAAATAAGCTTATGGGTTTTCTCAAACACTATACATTGCAAATCCAGATAAATCTGTGGTAACACTTTAGTTTAAGTCACAATTCATGGTATCAACAAACCAACACTACTAGCTTAATAAACAAATAATTAGCTGTTTATTAATGATTAGTAATGAGTTAATCAAAATAAGGAAAGCCTTTCTATGTGTTTTGAGTAGGCTTGTATTTTACAGTACTGTAGAACTACTCAAAATGTCTCTGTCAATATTTTCAAACAATTATATTTGATTTACTGAAGTCACACAAGTGCCAATTTCACATCAGTCACATTCAAAATGGAGAGGTATCACATCCATAACAAAGCTTTTTCCTTATAAATGCAAAAATATCAAATCAAATCCATTATTTTGTTATTCAGATTAGCATTGTTTCTTTTGGGTTGTGCAGTTTAATTCACTGAAAGTATGTCTTACACTCGCATCCATAACACATGTTTATTTTCCTCATTTAAAACCTAAAAGTTGTTTACAGATTGATATTTTTATGATGCCCTAACTCTGTGACTAGTTGTTTTGGGAAATATAAACTGATGTTTCAACATAATGTAACATTTACTTTCTCTGTGAATTTTTGTTTTGAATTTTTACTGCAAATGTCACATCCATAACGCTGGAATTGCTCTAAGGAAAAAAAAAAGTTGTGTTTAGGTTTTGGGTATGGAATATGGATGCAGAATAAGATCACACAACTACTAATGAACAGTTTATATCTTAATAGGCAGGTAATAAGCCAGTAGCAAATAGCATGGATTGTGACAAAACGTAAAGTGTTATTATTTAAAAAAGGTAATGATTCGCACACACAATGAGGAAGGCATTGTGCCGAAATGTCTGTGTCTTTTAATCACCCGTAGAATGTAAGAGAAAGAAAAAATAAAAACAATACGAAGCAATTACTTGAGTGCGAATCATTACCTTTTTTGAAGAGCATTGACAAGATTGACGCACCAAAACAAAGAAGTCCCTAAAAAAAACGCAAGGGCAAACTTCAGCAATCCAACGTAAAGTGTTACCAAAATTGTTAAGAAGTGTTAGAACAGGGGTGGCCAACCCTGTTCCTGGACAAGCTTCCTGCCTGTTCAGGTCCTAATTAATTGGTTCAGGTGTGTTTGACATGGGTAGCAACTGAAATCTGCAGGTAGGTGGCTCTCCAGGAACAGGGATGGCCACCTCTGTGTTAGAATATTACTATTAGTATTATTATTATTATTATTATTATTATTATTTATATTATTATTTTACACAGGCATATACACAGTTAATATCACACCCTTCTTATATTTCAACACATGCTGGGTTGATTCAATTAAAATATTGATAAAATATTGGCAAACTCAACTATTGGGTTAAATTCATAAATTACTATAATTTTTATCTTTTAACATTTGCCCATATTTTACCTAAATGTGGGTTAAAGCAAGGATGTTTAAATTTTGCATGATAAATGTGATACATTAATGAACTGATCAAATGAACAGAGTATGCATCATAATACATCATCATATCTTTTTTCAGGGTCTCTGAGAGAACTGTTGTACTTTCACTGTGTTTATGACAAGTGACCCTTTACTCTTCACATTGAGGTGATCAGAACTGGACATGAGGGCTGTACGGTTAAATTAGGTCAGATATGTCCTGCAGGCCTTCATGCCAGTATTTTGGCTTTGGTGATTGAAAGCAAGGACACGTACTTAATTTCAGAGTAAAAGACCAAATCGCTTCTTTGTTTCCACAACAGCAACTTGTAAAGCAGCAGCAACCATAAAAACAGTTTAACATAATTTGTCTAGTTAGGATCTTAAAGCTGCTGGAAAAAAAGAAAAGAAAATCACATTGGCATTGTGTTGTGTGACATTATAGGCAATAAAATGTAGTAACTTTACAGCTGAATATACACTGCAGACATTCACACTCAATGTCTCAACAGAATTAAGCTGACTTTTATAAACACTGGAATAACTGCAGATGTAGACCAAACAGGTATTCATGAATCATGTCTCTCATGCTACATTTGGCACCTGGATTTCTGCTTAGTTTGTTCAACAAAGCAAAATCATCTAGCAGGTGTGTAGCAGACATTTCTTATTGCCTGCGCTTGCTCAAACACCTCTAATATCTGCGTCTAGAAAAACTCTAGTCTCAGGAACAATATTACATTTTCCAATGTAGCTAAATTCAGCACACTGTTAAGCAAGCCAAGTGATATGTGTGTGTGTGTGTGTGTGTGTGTGTGTGTTAGTACGTGTGTGTTTAAATGCATATATTTAAATATATATGTGTAAATTAATTTGACAAAAGTAACTTAGGAAGCATATTAAATCTAATTAAAGTGTCAGTACTTTAATGTTTCAAATAAGTTGTGTTTATAAGTCAAAATATTGATGAAATAATGTTCCATCTCCATTCAACTTAACTAATACATTTATGAAAATAATAATTCTTGCTGATTATTATATTATATAAAATAATAAGTGATCATATTGAATTATACTATTGTTTACTTGATACAAATGTATTGCTGTAAAATTGATTTGATGGACAATGGCAAATAAAAATGACATGTATTTTGTGGCTGCACTATGACCAATAATTAATGTTTAATATACAGCAAAATATATGTTTTTTCCCCCGAAAATTAAAAAAATGGCTGACATGTATTTTAGTATATAAACCATTCTTGCACAATGACAATAATTTACATATTAATAATGAGTACTTTCTGCAAACAGAACACATTCTAATGTGCTTGACAAACAATAATGTAAAGCTGCATTAATAAATAAATACAAATTTTTTATATATTTGATGCTTGAAACCCCCTATTGTCTTTAACCCATATGTGCAGTTGAAGTCAGAATTATTAGTCCCCCCCCCCTTTGAGATTTATTTTCTTTTTTAAATATTTCTCAAATGATGTTGACCCGAGCAAGGAAATATCTTTTACAGTATGTCTGAAATTTATTTATTTTTTTGCTTCTGAAGAAATTCTTATTTGTTTTATTTCCGCTAGAATTCCGCTAAAATCATTTTAAGGTCAAAATTATTAGCCTCTTTAAGCTAAATATTTTTTTCAATAGTTTACAGAACAAACCATTGTTATACCTTACCTTGCAATACCCTAACCTGCCTAGTTAACCTTATTAACCTTGTTAAGCCTTTAATTGTCACTTTAAGCTGTATAGAAGTGTCTTGAAAAATGTCTAGTAAAATATTATTTACTAAAAAAATACACAGGGGGGCTAATACCTCTGACTTCAACTGTATATTCTCAGCATTTTTATTATTAGCATAAGCTGTTTCATATAATTGGCACATAATCTGTCTCGGAAGGCTTAAAACTTGAACTAACAGTTCTTTTCAGCCCTCAGTAATCTGTAAATTATTATCTGCGAAGTTAAATAACTGACCTTGTTTGTGCAGTAATTGCACATTTAGGTAATGGAGATAAAAATAAATGATCAGCTTAACAGCAGTCTCTATTTCTGTTCATACATAGAAATGTCAAGAGCAGGTGTCTTCCTTTTGAAAGCTTCGTCGGTGAAGAGCTCTTAAGCGCCGTCCAACGATGACAAGCTTTCAAACACTTTCCAAACAAATTCTAAAATTAATTCTCACTAAAAGCACTCCAGGAATAGATGCAATCTCAGAAAGAAAAGATCTGATTAAAAACCACTTGACAGCCTGATGCCAAACAAAAGCCTTTTTATGTTCAAAATAATCAAATATTATTATCCAGTTCCACAGAAAACTATTAAAAACTATAAAAATCCAGATGAAAACAGACTAATCTGAAGAACCAGTAATGCTACATGATTTTTTTTTTATATCCAAAGACCCATTTGTAGCCAAAATCTCTTGTGGAAATAATCTTTAAAGTATTCCAAGACACATTAAATTAATGATCAACTATTAAATGAAGCTATAGCAATAATCTAAACTGATTCCCTGCATAATTGAACCAGACTAATAGCCAATTCAAGATGATGCAACATGCATATTCAGCACGGTAATGTCCTCCATAACATCTCCTGCTGTGGGCTCAAACTTGCAAATGTACTTCATTTAGCCTATAGAAAACATTACACTCAAAGGGTCGAAATCCAACAGGCATGAAACCAATTAGCAAAGCCGCAATTACTTGGCACATACCTCATTCCCAAAGATTCCTCTTGAAAAGACCCCGTTTGGATGGAGGATTGTATGGAGTCTCATAGAGAGCAGGCTGGGGATGATGGATGCTGTGAGCTCGTCCAGAGGAGGAGAAGAAAGAGAGGGAGGAGGACAGAGAGAGGAGGAATAAAGGCGCAGGAAGGATATGCGATCAACCCTCTCTCTTTAACCAACAGGGCTGATTTTCCTATTTGTCCTTCTTGGCACGACGAAGAAAGTGGGAAGGGATAAAGGAAAAGTTAAAATGTCCTAATTTAGAATGAGTTTAGAGAGAGAGAGAGAGAGAGAGAGAGAGGCGCCTTTAATGATATTGTAATAGCCTACACTTAAAAAGGTTTCTCGACGTCCTCTTGTTGTCCAGTAAATTGTTTCGCGCCCATAAAGATAAACTAAATAGTCAGCGCGAAAATTGATAATCGCGCGTTGTTCATAAAGTTGTTATGATTACATTGTTTTTAATGCTTGTCATAGACAACGCAAAAAACAATTATGGACAATTTTATATCTAATATATTCTATATCCATCTAGAATCTATCAACAAAAACTAAATTTAAGACAAATAGTTACTGGAGCTCAGTACACCTGTGAGTCTTGGGGATACGATTTGCAAACATTTTAAAAATATATGTCTATGTTTTATGCTTAAGTAGGATGAATATACGCTATAAAAGTACAAGAGCTGTCACTGGGGTGGTATCTTTTTAAAAGATACGCATTTGTACCTAAAAGGTCCCTATTAATACCTCAAGGGTACATATTAGTACCTAGAAAATGTACCTCTTAAAATGTTTAGGTATAAATGTGAGCTTTTGGGGTACCAATATGGAATCTTTAAGTATCACCCCAGTGACATCTCTTATTTCAGGGAGTGTAGGACAATATTTGGCAAATATGCAACTATTTGAAATTCTGGATTCTAAGGGTTCAAAAAATCTAAATATTGAAAAAATTGTCTTTAATGTCATCTAAATTAAGTTCTTACTCGGTTAAAATTTATATGATCAATTAGTCCTGGCAGCACGTTTTAGGTAATTGTAACTTAACTTAGTTAATCATGTTCTAGCTTAATTTTATAAGTTACGCAAGCTATTTTAAGTCAGTTTAACATAGTGTAAGTGCAACGGACTCATGAGGTTAATTTGATTCAGCTTAAAAATTAAGACAACCATGCAGCGTTAGCAAAGGAATCAATTTTTTAGTTTGATACATTTAAGGAAATGCACAATATGTCTCATTGATCCGAATAATCTGATGATTTTGGCATTAAAAAAAAATCTTGTATTTTGACTTGTATTTTTGGCTATTGCAACATAAGACAAAAATAATCCAAAACACTGTGGTCCTGGGTCACGGAAATCTAAACATGCAAACTAATGAAAAGCATCAAATTAAATACTTGTGTTTTAAAATGTTTTCTTTAAAGTAGAATTAAAAAATACTTTACAAAGAACCAAAAAGACTTAAAATTGACACAAAAAATAGATATTTCGCTGTAGTATTTTGTATTAAGCTATTTAACAGGGTAAGATTCATATAAAAAAAGTTAAATTTACAATTGTCTGAAAGACAAAATAGTGTTACCTAAAGGTTGGTAAAATCAGTTTAAAATAATTACATTTATCAATCATGATATTGCAATGATATTGCTTAAGTCATAAATAAACAGATGTTCCTGTTTTTACCTTAAATCGGTAGCTTTTATGTTTGTTCCAACTTGCAGAGATGCTCAAAACCTTGAGTACTCTCATTTTGTTACATGGATAAAAGTCTTGAAGAAACATCCTCTCTAAATAATTCTCCATTGTTTTTAGGAAGGGTTCCAGATTAAAGGAAGGATCAAGTTTGCATTGTGTAAGAGTCCAAGGGGTGACTGCCACTATGAATGCTTTGGTTGTCTCATTTGCTAGGCCACAACAACACAGCAAATTAGAATTAAGTGGTTATGTAAGTATACGGTTTTGCAAGCATGTTATGTCTGATGGTAAACATTTTCTCATGGCTGTATATACTACCTGTAATAAGTAGCATGAGTCTGAACATGAGCAATGCTGTATCACATGTAGCCTATAGGGAAAAACAAAATGTTGTAAAAACAATTACATTGCTTGTAAATGTAACTACAATAAGCCAGTAAGTAACATAATTGTACAATTCTGAAATATATATATAAAGTTAAAATATCCGATTATTCGCATCTGTGGACTGAAAACATACACTATTCATGTCACTGTTACAGAAATATTACATTTCAATGGAGGCCACATATTAAAGGTCCCAGGAAATTTAAATAATTAAGTATAATTAAGTTTTTTTTTTCAGATGTAAGTATCAGTATTATTGATTTTTAGGATATCTATAAACTAGTGTGCCCCAAAACAGTGACAAAATTAGCATTTAGAAAATACAAAACTGATATAAACATGTAAAGCTTGTAGTTTGTCACTTCCACCCTAATGGATCGGTTTTATTCACATCACCTCACACTACAGTTTCTCACCACATGCCCCACCCACTTTCAATACACTTCTCATTTGATGCACTTGAGCTCAACCACTCTCACTGGCAGAGCTGTGATCAAAGCCTATTGGCTGTTTTTTAAATAGCGGAGGAGCTACTCTGTTCAAAACTCTTATCGTGTTTTGGTAGAGATTACGTCAAACATCGAATAAAAATGCATTTCAAAGCACTTCATGGGACCTTTAATATAGATATAGTATGTAGAGTATAGATTAGACAACACAATCTCACGGCAATTCAAAACTTTTTCATTTAGTGGCTAATTCGTATGAATTTGTACGATCTAATTCGTACAATTTAATACGATTTGCTTATCCCCCAATGACGGTTGGGGTTAGGGGTGGGGTCAGGTGCCACGCCTCCTTTTTAAAATCGGACCATTTCGTACGACTGAACTCGTACGAATTCGTCCGAATTAGCCACTAAACTGGCAAAACGTAAAATACTTACGTTTTCTCGTGAGATCAGGCTGAGATTAGATGGTACGCAGACAATCAAGGTATTCCAGAAAGTAGGTTATGTGAAATGCTCAAAATAGGTTTTAAGATATGCAAGCGGGTAACCTCAGCATTTGGTTACATAAAATTTGATTATTTTCAAGGCAAAAGTTGTAGAAATTCAGGAGTAGATGTTTCAGGGTTGGTTAACAGATTAGTAAGCATTTGGCACATTTGGTTTCAGAAATACAGCCCAGATACCAAACACCTCATAATTAGTCTGTTAACTGCAGGAGAAATTGGCCAATTTAAGAAGGGCCAAATTGCTGACTATGCGATGGAAACAGAATCTCCACAATGGTTAGAAATTACCAATAGTGGTCCAAAGAGACACAAACCACAAATCAACAATAGGGCACACAAGGCTTATAGATCCACCCTAGCAAAAATTTTGTTTAATAGACGTCTAATAGACAAGGCTAAACTTGGGCAGTCAGTGATAATCTAATAGATGTCTAAGAATAGGCCAAAACTAGACTAGTCATCAAATAAACAGATTTGACAGACTTTATTTGTGTAGTCATTCATTTCTGTTTATTTGATGACTAGTCTAGTTTTGGCCTATTCTTAGACGTCTATTAGATTTTCACTGACAGCCCAAATTTAGCCTTGTTTAGCTAAGATGACTGTTTAGATGTTTATTAGACATCTTTTAAAACCAAAAATTGCTTGCTGGGACATGGACATTTAGGTAAAAGATGCTCTCCTGTCTGGTCAGAGAAGGTCTACTCTACTGTGGCAAAAGTCGCTTAAAACAGTGGTTCTCAAAGTGGGGGTCGGGACCCCCCGAGGGGTCGCGGGGCAATGAAGGGGGGTCGCCTGGTGATTTCCAAAAATCTATTTATTTTTATTAAACCATAAGAATTAACATATTTTATCCATAACCATACTGAAAATAAAAATAGTCGTTTATAGTTAATATATACTATATAGTAGCTTATAGTTACTAGTTCTATTGGATTGCGACCCCAGGGGTAATTACATTATATTAAAGGCAGCAATAGCGTCAGATGCGTTTTGTTTTTATAACATCAGGTTATACTTTCTGGCACATTTAAAGCACTGACACAAATTCAATTGGTGTGTCTGCGTCATTGCTTGCAAGGTTTCTGTATTTATAACCACCTCAGAGGATATTGGGGGTCGCGAGTCACTGGCATTGTTATTTTGGGGGTCGCGGGCTGAAAAGTTTGGGAACCCCTGGCTTAAAACACATTGAAATCACATTTTACAGGGGATAGTGATATGCTCTGTTCTGCTGGGAAACCCAGGGATTATGTACATACATTAAATTTGACATATAGTACCTACCTAAACTACCAAGTTTTCATATATTTTATTGACTACAGACTATGTGTACATGGACACCAGTAATCGAATTATTTACCTTAATCTCAATAAGACTTGAGTTGTCTTTTGAATGTTCCTTTAATGATCCTGTTTTACATGTTATAGCACATAATTTGATTAACGTCGATGCGTCACCACGCTATCCATATTTCCACAATAGTTTCATTTTCAATTTGTCAACTTTAACTGCAGTTTGGCACTTTCCCTTTCATTTAGGAATAATTCATGCATGCACCCCATGTAAAAAGATATTGGATAGGAGTATGAACTACTGGAAGAGTGTAGTTTTAATGTAATTTAATACCGCAGGCCATTTGGAAAAAAAGTGCAGAGAATAGTGTCAAACAGCCGTGTGTGTATATAAACTATCCTGTGGCAAAATGCGGCAAAAATCCAACATGAAGGTAATAGTTTGCTTGTGATAAATGTCTGTCTACATGTCTGTACTGCACTTCAATAATGCAACTCGGCATACTCCACGTCTTAATTTAATTTCTGTTTAGTTCAATTATGACCTAATCCGATTAATTCAATTAAATGAATCAAAAATCGTTGTTTACATGGTCCAGGGGTGACCAACCCTGTTCCTGGAGAGCCACCTTCCTGCAGATTTCAGTTGCAACCCATATCAAACACACCTGCCTGTAATTATCACGTGGTGTTCAGGTCCGAATTAATTTTTTCAGGTGTGTTTGATATGGGTAGCAAGCAACTGAAATCTGCAGAAACAGGGTTGGCCACCCCTGTGGTAGACTCGTTTTAAATGCTGTCTTAATTGTATTGAAATCCGATTATTGGTCTCCATGTAAACATACTTATTGATTCCTGGTTGAAGTGGCCTCTTTTATCGGGATAATGCACCTTGATACAAATGGTTTAGAAGATCAAGGTGTTTGCCTGACCTCCAAATGATCCAAATCTCAATCGAGAGCAGGATCTGTGGACCAAGAGGTTTGATCCACAAGGGCACAACCTTCCTTAGAGGAATTAAAAATTCTTATACGAATAGTTCCATGAAGAACCTTTAACATCCATAGAAACTTTCCGTTTAACAGACAATTCTAATATTGAAAAAATGTTCTTCATGCTAATAAAAATGGTTCTTTTAAGAACAGTTCCTCATAATAAAAATGTGTTCCATTTCCAAACAATTCAAAAAAAAATCACTTCTCTGGGTGTGGAGGAAACGCTGTGATTTGAGCTGTTTAAGTTCACAGACTTCACACTAAGTGAGTGCCCAGCAGCACGTGCATGGTTGTCAAACAGAAGGAGATTTGAATTCAATTAATAAACAAATAATCATCATGTCAATTAGTTATTAAAATTGTTTATCGCAGCCCTATTGATATGCTCTTTTTGTCCTTGCTGATCTTTTCAAGGAGAGCAATATGCGTCAAGGTTGATGAGCTCAAATAGCCAGATCCCTTAGTAGTGATGGAACAACTGCTTATTCAGAGAAAATGAAATGGTTTGAAATGAGTCACTGCTGATTCACATCTGTAAATTTGAATCTGATCCATTTGTGAGTCATGTCTATGAAGGTAACCGCATGTGGACACAACAGACCAGAGTCTAGCCTCCTGCTAAAACAGTAGCAACTTTAAGAAATGACAGGTTGGATGACAGAAGTGAGGATTTGCTTCCCCAAACAGAGCAAAGAGGGTGGAAATGGCTTTGTATATCACTCACTTTTTGACACCTTTATATACATAAGGAATTTAGCACATCAAGGCAGCTTAGTGTCTTGGAAATACTATGCTTAAGATGAAATAAAGGTTATATTATTCTGCAAAAGTCCGCAATTGACTTTATGCGTAACTATGGCATATTATTTATTGGCTCTAACATTATGGTAATCCTTTAGTAATGAGACTTTCTGTACCACAAGATTACCTCGGCCTGCCAACCATTGAAGATTTGAAAACTTGATCCATTTTACAGACATTTCGTTCGCATCCAAGCCACAAGTGGGAAAGTATGAAGTCACTGACTGCCATTCTCTGTAGCACATCCCATTAACCCTGATTCATCACTTTACAATAAAGCTCATATAAAGCTAAAGGTAACATAAACGAAAAAACTACCTTACTAATTTTGTAACTATTATGCACATTTCAAATATTTACTATTAATTCATGCACATAAATGTTTGTTGTTGATTCATGATTGTTGTGATATATCGAATGTTCGTATAAGAGTTCACACTTAGCTGATGATTGATTATACAGCGTGTTTGGCATGCTGTCCTGGGAGAGAGCCCTGGGCTCCCTCCCGTTTGCAGTGCAAGAGAGAGTTTGAGCTCAGTTAGATCAAGAACTTCCCTCTTGTTTGTAGCAAATGAACAATTAGGGATTGCTATAAAGAGTTAACTACTTACTAGGAGCACACCTATGGTGCCGATTTGGATTAGTCAATTAACTTTAGTTGCATGTTTTTAGATGATGGGAAGAAACCGGGGACGAGGAGGAAACCTACGTGTGCACGGGGAGAACATGTAAACACCGCACAGAAACGTTAAGGACTAGAACCAGTGACGTTCTTGCTGTGGGGCAACAGTGCTAACCACTGGGTCGCCATGCCACCCATATAGGAAAGGAGGAAGAGAAGGGGTGGAAGGGGGGATTCTTCAAAATGATAACTGTGGTATCACACTGCACTTTTCTCCCCATAGACTTCCATTCAAATGTACGCGAATGCGTCAGACCGCAAGGTCATGCGTCAAGTTTCACAGTTCGCTGCATTGGAAAGTTCAAGCTTGGTAAACACTGATCTGCAAAATCACATTGATTGACTGCGTGAGACCAATTGATGATATAAACATGACCTTTCTGTACAGAAATTTAAAATATGGAGCAGTTGCCTGCTTTTTTAATGTCTGATTATTTTATTTAATCCCGTCCCTTGTCGCAGCGCTGTACAACAGAATTTCACACGTTCAAACAATTGTGTGACCGCAGCTTTAGGAATCGTCTGATTGGCGAGTCATGAATTGGCTAATGCAGGACCAGCTGTGATCAATCATAAGCACATGATTTTCTCGAAATTACTTTATAAATAAACTTCACTTCATGCATTTTCAAATGTACAAAAAAGTATTATTTCATGCAAAAATTAAAACAACAAAAATCAATAAACGCTGCAGGCTGTATTATTTGTTTTTTTTAACATATATTGCAATAACATATATTACATAATCTTGTTGCCATTTCACATGATGCAGATGCTATTATTATATGTATATTGCAAAAAATAAATATTACATAATCTTATTGTATTTGTGCCATTTCACAATCGAAATGCAGTTTTACCAGTCATTAAAATACAATTTAGGCTAAAGTTATATATTGTAAGAGTAAAATAAAATAATAATATGAATATGTATTCTAAAATAATGCAATAAATTATAATCAAAAGTGTCAGTAAAGACTTATAATAAAGTATTGTATTTAAAAGATATATTTGTAATAATCAAAATGTAATTTCTATTCAACAAGAATCTTGAGAAAAAAAAAAAAAACTGGTGGGGTTACTTAGTGGTCTACCGATCGAAAATATTTATATTAAAACTTGTTCACAATCTGGTTTGTTTTTAACATGATTTTTTTTAACATCTCAATATTGATCAAATCCTATAAATGCTTTAAATGTCAAACCCTTATGCTTCAGAATAAGAGACTCTATAGTAAAAAGGTAAATAACCAATAGATGCTATTAAATCAGTGATATACAATAACATTTTCCACTTACTCATATAAAAAAATACAAATATTAAATTGATATTAGCACCAATATTACCAGTTCAGAAGGCAGACATGTCACTTTGCACACTAGCATACACATAAAACACATATGCATAAGGATAAGGCTGCAATAATCAGGGCAACCAGAGCTGGGAAAACTTTTCCAAAAAGACATTGTAATTTGAATGGCATCTACGCTTATGTTGGTCTGTTTCTCCTCATCCCAAAGTTCATATTATCTTCAATCCAGCCCGTATCCAGAGCAGATCGTCATGTTCATCAATAGGTTGAGAGCACAAAGACTCCAGTGGCAGACAAGTCTCTGCATTGATATCTTCGGCAAGTCTGAACAACTGCCCGGAGACATACTTGGACCTGCATCTTCTCCACGATAAACGCTTAACTTTCTCAAGCCTCCAACATCCTGAACGCAGCTCTGCCCAATACGATTTGTCAGAGGTGAACTGATCGCCCTGGCTGAGTCTGATTTCTCCCAAGGTCTATTCTTTACTTCTGTAAATTGGTCGAGTTTTGGTTGCTTGCCACTGTCACCTCTGGGTTGCTTTGTTGGGGTTGGCGGAGCTCCACATCAGTGTATTTACTCTTCAGTAAATCGGCCTTCAGCAGTGACATTTGCATTACACTGATCTGATTTAAACTAAACTGAACTTTGATGACATTTAAAATAAACTGGACTGATGCTGTTTTAATTAACTAGAACTACACCAAAAGTCTACCACTACACTTCGTCTGCCAGACTTGCTGGAATGTTCCACAATTTTAAATAATGTAATGACTTTTTATTCTCTATTCTTAATCTAGTTAAGCTGCTCGGACACAATCTACATTGTAAAATATGAACTGAATTAAACTGTGTTTACAGTGTTACTGTGTTACAGGTTTACATTGAATTGTTACGATTGTGCAAAGAAAAATCCCAAATAAGGCTAAAATCACACCATCAAATGCTTGTTCAACTGCTGGGAAACTGGTGGGCAAAGAAGCACAGATTGCTTCCCAAACACCACCAAAGCGGTGCGACTGGATTCTTAAACACAGACCAACTGATGATTGAGTGGGTTTGGAGGGAAAAGAGCTTTGACTGTAATCTCGAGGATGGCAGTCGAGGCCCTGTTCATTTGGACAGTTAAATACAGGAGGAGCTGTAATTCATGTGGTGGTGTTGAATTCACAGAAGACGACGAATGCTGACTCAGACATTAGTAAGACAGAGAAAAACTAGGAGAACAGATTTTTTTTTACTTACAGATTTCTGGACAGAAACAGTACGAAGAATTAGCAACATGTTTTGGAGAGTTAAAAGTTAAAAGGTATAGTTTACCCAAATTTATTTATTTATTTTTTTCATTTACTCAACCTCCACTTGTTCCAAATTGGTCTGAAATTCTTTTTTTTTTCTGTTAAACACAGATAAAACATATTTATGAATGTTTGAAACCAGTAGCCATCGACTATAAATTAGCCTATCAGTTCACAGCATTCCTCAAAATATCTTCTTGTGTGTTCAACTAATAAACACAAAGGCTGAGTAAAACATTATTGGTTGATTTATCCCCATTAACTTAAGCTCAGTTTCACAGAAACAGAAAAATCCCTTAACGGTACTTAAATCAAAACGTTGTTGAGAAGTTTAGCTGACAAAAAAAAAGTATAAGCAAAAAAGAAAATCTTTTAAAGTCTTATCTTGTCTTTTTCATAGCTAAATCCATTGCTTTAGCCGAAAGGTTTAGAGATGCCAGTTTCTGCTCCCACATTCTCTCCACCACTTTGTACAGTTCCATGGTGGCTTTGGCATCTTCTACTGACGAGTGGCCTCTATACCCTGTCTGAAAAAAATAAGAAGAGAGCTTTTCAGTGGAAAAGAAACTCAAAGCCATGCCTATCCTTATTTTCACTTGTAAAAATAGTCTGACTCTCCACTTCAGAACTGACTAAAATTGACTATGTCCGCAAGTCCTCTGAAAGCCCGAATTACAGTCGTCTAAATCCTCTGAGGTGAAACTGACGATGTTCAGTGCTGAATTGAACCCACCTGAATGTCTCTCTTTAAGATAGCTTGGGTGAGCTTCTTCAAAGACACACATTGTTTTTCAGGAAATCCAGCTTTCTCGTTTAGCAGTGGAATCCGCGAAGTGTCTCGTGTTTGGAAAGCGGGGTGGAAATATTTTAGGGCCTTGAAGTCATTATGGATAGCATGTCCCACAACCACCTTCCCTGTTATTATCTTCACAATCTGTGTGCAAAACATATAATAGTGTTTTGAAGATTTATTCAATCAGTCAGCAATTACTAGTCGGCCATTACCTGCAATAATGATTGGAATAATCTTACTTGGAACCAGTGAATAAACACAATCAGCCAATCACATGGCAGCAACTCAATGCATTTAGGCATCTAGACATGGTAAAGACGATCTGCTGCAGTTCAGAAAGGTGATTTAAGTGACTTTGAATGTGGCATGGTTGTGGTGGACCAGATGGGCTGGTCTGAATATTTCAGAAACTGCTGAGGCACTGGAATTTTCACGCACAATCATCTCTTGGGTTTACAGAGAATGGTCTGAAAAAAAGAATATATCCAGTGAGCAGCAATTTTGTGGGCACAAATGCCTTGATGCCAGAGGAGAATGGCCAGACTCGTTCCAGTGAAAAGAAAGGAAACAGTAACTCAAATAAACACTCACTACAACCCAGGTATGTAGAGGAGCATCTTTGAACACACAATGCGTTAAACCTTGAGGCAGATGGGCTACAGCAGCAGAAGTCCACACCGGGTGCCACTCCTGTCAGCTAAGAACAGGAAACTGAGGCTACAATTCACACAGGCTCACCAAAGTTGGACGATAGAAGATTGGAAAAACGTTGCCTGGTCTGATGAGTCTCGATTTTTTGCTGTGAAATTTGGATGGTAGGGTCAGAATTTGGCATCAACAACATCAAAGCGTGAATGCATCCCGCCTAGTATCATCGGTTCAGGCTGCTGGTGGTGTAATGGCGTGGGGGAAATTTTCTTGGCACACTTTGGGCCCATTAGTACGGAACCCCGGAAGGGACGTAGTGGAGGAGAAAAAAGTTGGCTGGGTGAAAAAAAAAAAAAATGGGTGATAGAAAAAAATGTCAGTCAGCGCTTATACATGCATTCACTGGTTCAGAGGTTGCAAAGTGAAAGGCGACGATCAGCGCACAGTAATGTAAAGAAAGTGGGGTAAAATACGGGAGAATTTTCGGCAAAAACGGGAGGGTTTACGTAAGTGCAGTGAACAGGTAGTGTTTGTGGAGAAACAGTTTTGCGAGAGAACGCAAAACATCTTTGCGAGGGAACGCAAAACTTTGCGAGAGAACGCAAAAACGTAGAAATATATATTTTCCTCCCACCTATTTTTTTCTTTCACCCAGCCAATTTTTTTCTCCTCCACTACGTCCCTTCCGGGGTTCCGTACATTAATAGAACCAATTGAGTATCATATCAACGCCACAGCCAACCTGAGTATTGTTGCTGACCATGTCCATCTCTTTATGACCACAGTGTACCCATCTTCTGATGGCTACTTCCAGCAGGATAACGTGTCATTTTATAAAATGCGAATCATCTCAGACTGATTTCTTGAACATGACAATGAGTTCACTGTACTGTACTATCAACAAAGGAAAATTAAGACCTGTTTTAGAAAGATTTAAGATCCACAACAGAATATTTCAGTAAATTTTAAGACTTTTTAAGGCGTAAAATTTAGATTTTGAGATTTAAGACATTTTGACTCTTTTGAAACCCTGTATAAAAGTGTCCGATCCACCATTGTCCAACACTCCAAGTCACTTTGCCTGAATTATGGGAGTAATGTCCATTAAACTGTAAACAATCAGTGATACATTTTTATTTTAAAAATAGATACAATTCAGCCACTAAATACAAAAATAAAACCTTGTTAGAATAAACTAATTGCTTTTAACAGAGATGAGTCTACTCATCCACTACTGTAAATATTAATGTCACCTACTGTAAGTGTAACATTATATTCATGACAGATAAAAATAAAGTTAACGTACTGTACCTTTGAGATTTCATTAAGCATATGGATTAATTGCAGTGCAAATATTCATGTTTTGAAGTGAAGTTACCAAAAGTAAAAGAGGAAGCCATAATTTAAAATACACTAGGAATGTTAGGAAAAGGTGGACATAAAATTAAGCATAATGAAACCTTATCATTTAGCTACTGATGCTTATTTCATACCTCTTTTTGCGCATGATAAAAAGGGGTGGCGTGGAGTAGATCCTGCCTCCTGATTCCACTCCAGCGAGTGCGATAGTCAGTCACTGGATTGATGGGTTTGACATATTTATCATAAACCACATCACCATCATAGGAGACAATACTGCAGCGGGCCAGTTCACTCTGAGCCCCCTTCGGCCCTGTTCCCACCATCTCACAGTCCAGAGCCAAGTATTTTATAGGTCCAGGGGGGCGAGGAACTGCCATTCTTTGTGTCAGATCCCTCTGAGATATGTTGGCATGGGATGGAAATAAATATGTGGACGTCCGGGAATACGCTTGTGCAGAACTAGAAGGCTCATAGGTGCTATTAGGCAGATAAGAGGTAAATTTAGGAAAAAACGCACGTGGTTTTGAATGCTCTCCTACGTTGAACCTGACATTTCTGGGCTTTTTTTTCGTCTTCTTCGGTTGGATCTTTTCAGGTTGCTTTTGATTTTGTTTCTCAGTTATCAAACCTTCGCTCTCCAGGTAACGCCTTCGTGAAAGAAAACGATCTTGTTTGGATTTTCCTCTGGATTTTCCTGATCGACCTCCTTGTCTAGGCTCACAATACCTGTTGAACATCATCCCTGACATTCTTATACCATCAAAAGTCGACTACAAAAAGTGTCTTCTTGATGTCTTTTTGCTCTTAAACAGAGAGAGAAAAGAAAAATTACTGTTCAGACAAGAGCTAACAATGTTCTAATGTTCAAACATTTATCTATCTATCTATCTATCTATCTATCTATATATATATATATATATATATATATATATATATATATATATATATATATATACACACACATATATTTTCACCGGCCACTTTATTAGGTACACCTGTACCAACTGCTAGTTGTGAATTAAAGGGACAATAAGTTACAACTTACACAGTACTAAATATTTTTGTGTTGCACCACTAAACTTAGTTTAAATGTAACGCTATGTTCTAACTAAATCCCCCCCCATGTATAATGATAGAAAAGAGATGACTGCAAGATGAGTTTACATTGAGCAGCTCGCAATCATAATGAAGAATGCTCTCCCTCTACTCACAGCCTTATTTTCCACCCAAATCTCGTTTTTTTTTTTTTTTTTTTTTATAAAAAAGAAGTTTTATTTTCTTTCAAGGAGGGTTTTGTGTTTATTTTATCCATCAATTAAAATTTGAATTTCTTCATGACTGAGACTGAGTTTTTCTTCCTGTTCTTTTCACATAGGAGTATAGGATATAAAAAAATAAAGTTTGCATTCACAGCTCTGACTGTAATCTAGAGACTGGCTAATTTAATATGCTATAAAGATGCAATTTGTTATTTCATTTTTATAGGACAGCTATATATAGATGCATTAGTTACAGAATTTTAAAGCAGTTTAACGATTTAAGTGCTTTTTTTTTGGATATTACGATATTCAATCTGACTACACATGACTTTACAAAGAAATTACAACCTACTGACTACTGTTTGCCTTAAGAACATGTGGTGCAACTGAATGAGAACAAATTTAGTTGCAAACTAGCTAGTAGTTACCAATCCCCTAGTCTGGACTTTGTTTCAGTTTAAGAAAGAACTTACGATCAGCTGGTGTAACCCTACCCTGATTTTAATCCAATAAAGCACCTTTTGTAAGTGGTGGAACGGGAGATTCGCATCATGGATGTGCAGCTGACAAATATGCAGCAACTGTGTGATGCTATCATGTCAATATGGACCAAAATCTTTGTTGAATCTAGGCCATGAAGGATTAAGGCATTTCTGAAGGCAAAAGGGGGTCCAAACCGGTACTAAGGTGTACCTAATAAAGTGTCCGGCGAGTGTGTATGTATGTGTATGTGAATGTGTGTTTTATATATATATATATATATATATATATATATATATATATATATATATATATATATATATATATATATATATATTTCTCCAATAGATTATATATTCGGTCAACAATTATTAATATTTGAATATTGAGTAAGCGTTAAACACTCCTCGTTGTAAACCAGTTTCTTTAACCAGACAAACGTGATATGTTTAACGTTACAAGTCATTTTGTAAACAGTTATCAGAAAAAACTGACTCTTGAATTTTATGAGCACCACCCCGTATAACATTAGTCCGAATTAATTCGTGTGATTACGGAGAGAAAAACAATTTACAAACGGATAAATACATACCAATATTCTTAACGTTAGCCCTCCAAAAGGCAACTTTGATATTTTTTCGATTCCTATACTCAAAACAATCACACCGAACGTGTATGTGATTTGCTCTTCCGGGTCGAGGGTAACGTATGAATAAAATAGGAAATTCGACTCCTTTGAACAGTTCATTTCAAAGAACCGAACCATCCCGATTCAGCGAATTGTATCTCGTACAGTAGTTGTACTGTTGCTAAAATAATAAAGTAATAATAAATTTAATGCAATTAGAGGTGTTTCCCAAACTTGTTCTGTGTGTTTTAAATGATTGCACATGCAATTAATGTCTGTAAAATATTTATAGAGTAAACTTAGTCAGGGCGACACAGTGGCTCAGTGGTTAGCACTGTCGCCCCACAGCAAGAAGGTTTGGTTTCGCCCACAGTACTAATACATGCGCTATAGGTGAGTTGGATAAACTAGATTGGGAGTAGTGTAGAAGTGTGAATGAAATTGTATGGATGGTTCCCAGTGATGGGTTGCAGCTGGAAGGTCATAAAACATAGGCTGGGGTAGTTAGCGGTTCATTCCTCTGTGAAAACCCCTGATGAACAAAGGGACCAAGCCAAAGGAAAATGAATGAAGGCATAACTTCATTACTTAAAACAAATGGTTTTTTTTTGTTAAACTAAACTGTAAATTAACATTTACATTAAAATAAATGTAAAACGGACAAAATAGATAAAAAAATATATTAAATATTTTAATAAAGCTAAACAGCAACATTTGATCTAATAAGCAATGATTCAACTCGTGAACAAATCGCCTAACTTTTGAATCAGTTCAATTCTTTGATTCATTCACGAGTCTGACATCATTGATAGGCGGCGCTACTGCAAGCACGCGTGCTAGGGTGACCAGATGTAAACACACAAACCTCCCACGTTCCTTCTAAATTCTTTAATTAAATAACCGGAGTTTTGACGAACACAATGCTCGTGGCGACATTTTCAGAGCAAGAGCAGAAAGAACTAGCCGAGAAGCTCACATCGCTCCTGTCAACCTACAGGCACATATCAGACTCCTACATAATAGTAATGAATGAACAACTTCTTTATTGCTTGTGCTTCATAACTGCATGTTTTATTATTAGTGAGAGTGTAACAGTAAACGAATAATCCCGTGAATTTAAGCCGCTGGGTTTCTGTCTGCTGATCATCACGTTTATCGCGTGATCAAATATTGATGCAGATGTGAAAGTGTATCTCGGTGTTTCAGGAGTTCTTCAGCGAGAGCTTGTGGGAGACTCTGCCGGTGAGCTGGCAGGAGGCCCTCGGTGATCTTACACCCCCGATGATCGCTGATCTGCTGCTGGATGACAAGATTAAGGACAGGCGGTAAAATGAGTTTATTCTCTGTCTCCGGTTGTTTACAACACCTTGACTTAAATTAAGATAACGTTACAAAGTCAGCACGTTGCCCACAATTCACTTTGTAATCTATCAAGAGCATCTGCTTGTATAAAAAGCTTGAGGTAAATAGAAATACACTGCTATAAGAATACAAACACACTATGGGTTCGAATTGAAGACATCCACTGTTGTGATGACTGTTCCCACATACTAAATTTACTACATTAAAAATATGAATTAATCTGTTGTGGTAATTTTGTATTTGGGGTGGTAATGTACTGTAGTAATATAAACAAACTACCCAATGCTGTAAAGTTTTCTACATCTATTGGGTTTATTATTATACTACATTACGCCACAGTTATTGTGTTCAGCCTCAAAAAGAGAAACTGTTCAAAATGTGTTTAATTCAGAAAAATTGTGCGTATTGAGAAAACATGTTTGTGGATGTTAGCTGAAAGTTGTTGAATTGATTTTTTTCTTCACAGCTACTCATCTGTTTGGCCTCTGTCTTTACTGGCACTGCGGACAGCAGCACATGCACTGACGTTTCCACGTACAACTCCAGGTGGGCACCAGCAGAACGCAGGTGTAGCAGCAGAGGAGTTTCAGTCCAACCACAGTCAGAGCTCTTTGTTAGGACACATTTTCCGTAAACATGTCAAGCCAAAGAAGCAGCATGAAATCCGCCGACTCGGCATGGTACAAGTAAATTACTATACATGTAAGACTCTAAATTTGATCTCTTCAGATCATAAATGTTTGTCCTCTTAAACTTTTTTTCTAGCTCGTCAAGGAGTTGTGTGATCAGGCTAACTGTAACTGTGTGGTTGATGTTGGGTCTGGACAGGTACAGTAAATAATATCTTGTTCAATTTTGTTATTTAAAGCAAATTTAACCCACTTTAATTGTACCCATTCCTGCAGGGTCATTTGACTCGCTTTCTGTCTTTTGGACTCGGTCTGCATGTCACCGGAATCGAGGCTGATCCTAACCTTGTTTCCATGGCTACCAAATTTGATAGACAGCTGCTACAGACACTCACCAAGGAGAATCAAAGTGTACGTCCAAACATCTTTTCAATTATATAGTCCATAATATTCTGTTACTGTAACCATCTTTTCATATGACAAAACATGACTACTTTTTCAATTTTCTAATTTAAATACAGTACTTCAGTTCAGTTTTAACTTCTGAAATCAAAATTTTAATCACAACAAATGTTTTATATGTTTGTTAAATGTATAAAATGTAATGTATAAAAATATTTGTTATTCTGAACACCTGTCATTTTCTGAAAAGTACAATTGCCCTAAATGACAAGACGTTTGTTTTATAGAATAAAAAAATATCAAAATGTATCTCAAATTCATACTTAAAAATCCAGTCTGCCCAGGATTTTTCAGGGACATTTCCTTTAATATTTGAGGCCTAAAATTACTGATTTTGTGACGGGTTTTCTCAAAGCTTAAGGGCCTTTATTGCTCAATCCTTGTGTTTGGCTGTGAAAAAAAAATACACAAAAATGTTCCTTTTTTTATCTTAAAATTCTCAAAATTTTGACTTTGAAAATCCTGGAGAGGCCGATAAACCAAGTAAATCTATAAAAACTGACAACTTTTCTATAATTTTATAACCTAATAATTGATTTTATATTAAATTATTTAGTTTTATGTTATGTCTTAACTACAGTAAACCTAGTTTTTTTACCTGTACCTCATACCTGTAAACCCTCCCATTTTGTGCCGGGATTTTCTCGTATTTTACTATTCTTTCCCGCTATCATTGAAGTATTTTCTCATATTTTTAATTTTTCTATAAAAAGTTAGAGTCAAAACAACTATCTCAACTGTGATATTATTGCAAGAGCTGTTCAAGTGAATTATGCTTTCGCTTTAGTTTGGCTTGAAACCATGGTTAAATGTATATAAAAAAAATTCTATAAAACTATGGGTGGATCATCACCCTTCCTGTGCAACCTCTGAATATGTCAATTCATGTAACGTGCTTACTGACGGAGGCGCTCTGTATCACTTTTCTCAGATCAGCTTCTGTACACGTGATTTGAAGAGGAGTGAAAGTAGATGCTTTGGGATTTGCATGTGTTTTTAAAAAGACTAATACACTTAATAATATGCAAACTAATATTATTATATTGCGTCTTAAACAAATAATTTTGTCTTAAATGAGCAGAAAAAGTTACAAAAGTAATCAAATTTGTTCATCATAGATCTGTGGATTCTTGTAGGGAAACCTTTGTAATCAAACAAAACAGTGGATCAAAATGAGAAATTATAGAAAATGTATTTTATATTTAAATATAGTGAATATAAAGTTAACAAGATTTTTAAAACCTTAAAGGGCCCCATATTACCCACTTTTTAATATTAAAGACAAGTCTTTTGTGTCTTCAGAATGTGTCTGTAACTCAAAACACTCATCAGGTTATTTATTTTACCTTTCAGAACATTAGAATTTTCTGCTTTGAACACAATGTAGCAGTTTTTTTTTTTGCCTGTGCCTTTAATGTTAGTTTTCTTCACCCACCATTCCCACGTGCCTGTCAGAGTGTGCCTTAATCTTAATGCCTTAATGCAGTGGTCACCAAACTTGTTCCTGGAGGGCCGGTGTCCTGCAGATTTTAGCTCCAACCCTAATCAAACACACCTGAACAAGCTAATCAAGGTCTTACTAGGTATACTTGAATCATCCAGGCAGGTGTGTTGAGGCAAGTTGGAGCTAAACCCTGCAGGGACACCGGCTTTCCAGGACCGAGATTGGTGACCCCTGCCTTAATGTTTTTGCATGCAAATGTAACAGGATACCTGTTAATATCCACTGCTGTATGGATATCCGTTATGTTAATGTACAAAATAAACCTGATGCAGTGTGGTGATAAAGACAGTAAAATCGTTGTAATTCATTACAAACATGCACTGTTTTAAAAACGTTTTAAACTTGTAAAACTCATTCTTGATCACATTCAATGATAATTGATGATCACAGAGAGGTCAACAGATATTTTAATCCCAGGTGCTTTGTGCACAGTCTGTCTTGTTGATATGATTGTACGCATTACTATGTAGTCATGTTAATACGAGGCTATCAATTAATTTGATGGACATTGAAACTGCACTCAGATTTGGATCCTATTTTCAGGAAATTTAAAAAAAGAGACTTATTGTGTTTCTAACACCCAAATATGACTGTGGACACACTATACCTACACGCAGTTCTGTCCAAACAACTTACAAAAGATGATTTCCATCATTGGTGCCCTCAAAAAAATTTGACAATGTTGACAGCTATGTAACAGTAACACTTATTTGTCTTGTGTTGCAGTCAGGAAAAGCTCACGTTCTGCGTTCTGAACCTGGACCTCCTCCTCGTCACGTGGTGGGCTGGGTGAACCCAAAGGCTTCATGGGACGTCTTCATTCAGCAGCTCGGTATGACAGCAACTGAAAGTGACAGTATTGGAGCAACCACTGAAAAAAAACAGCGAGTGGAGGATCTGCATCTGGAGCCGCTTTCATGCCAAACCAAAGCAGAGGACTTACAAAATACACTTCACTCTCAAAAAACTGCCTCTCAAACAAACACGTCCATTTTTCCATCAGGCACAGCAACCGAAATGCTTACCTGTAAAACCATACCCATTCCTAAACGTGATCCTGGTAGTTTTGTCCTAACAGGTCTTCATGCCTGCGGAGATCTTAGCGCCACACTTTTACGGCATTTCACCAACTGCCCTCATGTTAACGTCATCACATCTGTTGCTTGCTGTTATATGAAGATCTCCACCAAGGAGAACCCAAACCCTCCTGGAGTTTTCCAGCCACCGTTTTTCTCGGACATCACAACGGCAGATTTTTGTTCGGAATTTGGTTATCCAATGAGCAACTGGGTCCGTGGATTAACGGGACACCAGCTGTCCTATAAGGCCAGAGAAGGAGCATGTCATGCAATAGAGGAGTATCTCCAGCGGCTGAGAGAGGAGAGCACATTATTGCGCACACACTGCTATAGAGCCATCCTAGAAAACATCATCAGAGCCCACAGGCCTGATATCCGCAGACCGGGAGTTCAGACCGTGAAGAAAGCCCACATGCTGTCATTTTCAGAGTTAGTTACATTTTTTTGTCACATTCGTAAGTAAGAATATTTTTCAAGAATAGAAAGGGCCTCAGAAACTAATTTTGTAGACATGAACAAACTAATCAAATTCAGATTTCAGTCATATAAAGGCCCAATCACAATTTTTTTTTTTATTTCCCTTCCCCTTCCCCCTTGAAACAGAATGTGAATGGAAGGGCTTTTAAAATTTACCCCTAAGAAATGGGACAGCACTACTGCACCTGCACACGTCATCATATGTCATCGCAATCTCTTGCTTTATATGAGATCGACGACGGCGACTGCTGTAGTTATTCTAGTTGCTTTGTTTTTTTTTTGGTATTTATCTTCAGGACATCACACAGAGGGGTATCTAGCCCTTCCCCTTAGCCCTACGCCTTCATGCTAAAGAGAATTGGGACACCAATACCCCTTCCTGTGAATGCAGCGCAAAACGAGGGGTAGAGGTAGAGGGAAGGGCTAAGGGGTAGAATTTGGATTGGGCCTAACTGTCTAAAGCAGAGATGCCCAAACTAGGGCCTGCGGGCCAAAGTTAGGCCATAGTGATGGTTTAGAGATTATATTTTTGTTTTAATGTTCAGCTACAAAAAAGCAAACTGAAATGAAATGTTTCAATTTAAATGGTATAAATTACGAATAGCGTACAATGCAGAGACTTTGATGAGCGAATCAAGGCAAAGGCAGTTATAAATGTGTTTGTTTTTATTCAAAGTTATACTGCATTAGTTAATATGATTCAAAGTAATGTTTTCTATTTTTCAATATTATGAAATTTATTAGAAAATTACTCATGGCAACTTTTATGTAAAATAGTTAGGAGAGGTATATTTGTCTTCGGTCCACGGATTTCAATGATATTTGGTTTTTGGCTCTTCAAACAAAAAAAAGTTTGGGCACCCTTGATCTAAAGTGACATTAGGATTAGCACAGAATCTTATAATGCAATTAACTTTTCAACTTCCACTCTAAATCACTGCTCACACTGTGCGATTTCAGCCACGATTTGGCCATCGGAGACAAGTTTGGAAAAGTACTAAAAGATTCTAATAATTTAGGACTATAATCTGTGGTCTTTGATGATTAGTTTTGACATGTTCACCAACAGCTGCTTAATAGCCGGTGTGATCAAATTTTCCCTGCGATGAAGTTCTGGCAGAGTCAAGAGATTTCAGACTCTTTCCTGTAGTGTGTTCAGCTGAGCATCAAACCAGGACACAATAGGAGTGACGAAATCTGATGACGAAATTAGCACGGCATTTACCAACCAGCACAGGGAACTGAAAGTTTTTTTTCCAGGTTTTATTATAGATCATTTCAATGTGATCATGTCATTGGCCCATGAACATTTCCTGCTGTTTTTCAAACTATTTCATAACTGTAACAAGAGGCAATTCCATCATAACTTAATGTTAAAACAGCTATTTTAACGTTGTTTATCAGTATGTGGCTCATTTTGGATTGTTGGAAGCTATAGAAATTAAAAATGTAAAATAGGGAATACATTGGGGCCATTGTTTTTGTTTACATCCCTCAAAATGGTCTACGGAGGCTAAATTACCGCTACAGTTTGTTTATGTTTGGTGTAAGGTAAAAGCTCAGAACATGAGATAGTGAACCTGTCACAGATGGATGATGTCAAACTCGGGGCGAGTTTTCTTGCGAGTCCATGTTTGGCACATCTTGATTGTCGTTCAGTCTGACATTATGACAATTAAGGTCTTACAGTGGGACATAGCAGTCATGTTCGGGCAATCTGACATGTTACAATTGTTTAAGATTATAAAAAATTGCACAGCGTGAGCCAGGCTTAACAACTTTTTTTTGGCCAATTCTCTAAGCAATTTGGAGTTTTAAACGGTAAACCAAAAAGTTAAGATGAAAGTTAAAGGGATAATGTAAGCACAAACCAAGACTTGCTACACTTTTTCACCAAAAAGTTGGCGTCTCGACTGATCTAGAATAATGACGAATGAGATCCTACAACTTGAGGTTTTTTGACTGTGTGAGATTTAGATTTGGGGGCCTAAAATACAAAGTTGAAAACAGCTTTCAAAGTGCAAGTTTTTGATACAATACTAATAATATTTAAGCATAAACTACATAAATGTGATTTTGCAAAATTGCATTTTTTAAGTACAATCACTGTCATTATCCAAAAAACTTTTCCATAAACTGGAAATAACACATAAAAATCCCCCACACACACTATATCTGTAATTTTAGACTGCCGCAATAAACTCTTTCCTGCTGTTTTATGGCAGGTATGCTCGTCTGGCACTGCCACGGGTGGGTTTACCTGCTGATCTCCCATTTGATCCTGTCTGTGTGGATGCAATGCTTGCCCAGCAGGGTAAAGTAGTGGCGTATTTCAGCCTGGTTCTTCTGCTGGCACCGGTGGTGGAGACTCTAGTGTTACTGGACAGAATAATTTTTCTGCAGGAAAGAGGTATGTGGAGTAGAATGTATTATTTTTCTTACATTTGCATATTTAAAAATATAATCCTTAACTGTGTTATTATTGACCATACATTTCACGATAGCTGTTTAAGGTGCATTTATTTATTTATTTAAAAGCATAACAGGGACAATTTAATCATCATAACCATTAACAGGAATGATATATTCATCACTTGTCTTTGCATTTTCATCACTAGGTTTTCAGAGTAAGCTCATCCCGCTCTTTGATGCTGCTTTTTCTCCACGAAACCTGGTTCTGGTGGCCGTCAAGTCTGAAGAAACACGAAGCTGATCTCAAAACCACATAAACTATACAGCAACGTATTATGAAGGAATTGCCCTCGAATGAACCCCTACACAAACTACAAGAAATTTAGGATGTGAAATTAGAGGTCTGATTTTCCAGAGAGATCCATTACTGGCTCATTGTTCAGTTATCTTTCCCCCTTCATGCATGATTTGACTTATTAGTCTTGATAGTTTAAATTGTTGCTCGTCTGAATATGTGGTTTCAGTAGTTTTGACATTTAAAGATTAATGACAGACAAATTGTATTGCTTAATTTCCCATTATCAGTCAGGAGTTATTGTACAAGCTTGTTTCTCTAATAAAATACTTTTCACCTCCACTCTAAAATACAATTAATATATAATTGAAGGATTATTCAGTGTAAATGTTATCGTGCAGAGATGCCCAGACTAGGGCCTTAGGGCCAAAGTTGACCCATGGTAACCTGTGCGAGTTGGCCCACCATACAATCAGAGAAGTGATGGTGAGGGTTAGGGGTGAATGCTTTTAACTGAGATCGGCATTTCTGATATAACATGACCTTTTTAAATTTGTTTTATTGCTGTGCTACAAAAACTAAAATGTTTTGATTAAATCTTGTAAATAAATCTGATTTTCTAAAATGTAAATACTCTGTCTACAGACAGAGAACAATGCAGAAAACATCAGTGAACAAATCAAGGCAAAAACAGGTGCAGCTAAACTTGTGTATTCGGCTTTGAAATCCACTCTGTTTTGAATGGGATTGCTTTTACAGTTATGAATTCAATAAACATTTAAAAACTTAGTAGTAGTCCATGTAAAGCAATGTTTTTTATTATTATTATTTTTTTAAATATTATAAATTATCCATGGCAACTTTAATGCATTACAGCTTTGGTATATTTACCTTTAACCCACAACCCTCAATCAAGTTTGGTGTTCGGCCTCATGAAAACGTTTAAGGACCTGAGTGTCTATACAACATTGTTATAAAGAAAGGCTAACTTCAACCTGTAGATGGCACTGTTACGACAAAATCAAATGAAATCCTCAATAGCAACAATACTTTTATAAAAAAAATTTTTTTTTTTTTTTTAATAAGCAATATCAAAATATGCATCAAGGAAAAAAAAAAAAAAAAAAAAAAAAAGTTAAATCACGCAAGTCCAGTCTAAATTACACACTCTGTCATGGAGACAGTATCTTTGTGAAAAATTTAAAAAATATATATTGATTAGGCCTAAACAGGTCACAAAGATGTACCTTATGACAACACACCCCCATATGGACATTTTAGTATGTTTATTTATATAAGAATTTATAGGACTTTGATTAAACACTTTCAAAACCAATTTTGCTGTTATTTAAACCATTAAAATTTCAAAACGAACAAATATTTGTCAAGAAAATAAATAGACTGTTTTATTTTCTTTAACCATTTTATTTTGCTTCTGTCAAAATGTACATCATTAATATTAAAGCAGCATTTCTTAAACGGGTGAATCTAATGCACACTTGACAGTTCATATACCACTGTACTTTCCCACACACACACACACACACACTCTCTCTCTCTGCAGTGTATTAAATGGATGAATAACATTTAGAAAACATTTTCCTTCAAATGAAGTAACACATGAAAGTTTAATTCTTCATGCTCTCTACAAAAAACTCATTGCATGCCACAGTGAGAGCAGCCACCAGCACAACAAACTCCTGAAAGTCCACCTCTCCATCCCGGTTCTCATCCAGATCAGACATGATCTTCTCCACCACCATGGGGTCTTTACTTGCCTACAGCAGGACACAGATATTACTTCAAATGTGCAAAATGCAGATCAGACATTAAATGATAATTGTGGAGATTGAAACCTACGGCTAAAAAGTCACTGAGTTCCCCTTGAAGCAAGCTTTTAAGCTCAGATTTGCTTAGCTTGTACTTGTCTCCCTCTTTGGAGGAGTATGTGTGGAAGACTTTAATCAGGCCTTCCATTGCATTTTCCAGTTTTGAAACCATGTTAGAAAATATTATCTGCAAGATAAATAATTAAATACAAGTCAAATCAAACATCAACAGAATAAATTTTAAAAATAAATGCATGTACAATTTTTTTTAAAAACTAAAAATACATTTAAAATTAGTACAATTGTATTTAAAAAATTTGTCAAAAAGGTTTTGTTTTCTTTGTTTAAATACCAAGTTTAAAAATCCACTTTCTTTTCTGTGCAGGCATTAGTCAATTATATGCTCCATTTAAATGCATTTTTGTTCACTAAATGAAATAATGCACAAACATAATAACAATTTTCTAAGTGCGTATACCCTCTCTCAATTTCTACAAGCTTGTAGTAAGCTAATGCATGGACACCTGCTGACCCCAGGGGCCCCTTCATTACAGAGAGGGAAAGCGAGAGATCTAATATCTTTGAGCAGACTGGCCTTTTGGCATTGGCTGACTGATGACGATCAGGAGGGAGAGGGAAGACAGGTTTACATCAATTATTCAATTAGCCTTTTGTATGAACTAAAGGGTCTGATGCCGTTTATGCGCTGTTAAGGCATGTAGGCCTTAATTTTGACATTAGACTGCTATTGAAGCCAAGCTCTGGTATAGAATTTAAATTAAAGACACCGACATGATGTTGACGAGGATATTCAAATCTGAACCAACACTGCCGACTTAATAATAGAAATAACAGTATTAGGAACATTTAATTAAACTGCAGAAACCTCTATTGGTTGTAATATACTAGTATTATATGTTTTAAAAACAGCTTATTCGTATGAAATGGAGTAAGCTGCGTGAAGTTACACTTCTTCCATGAACTCTAATCACGTGCGTACACTATTGACATAGTTCTATCGAATTACTTTGATAGGGTTTTTCTTACAAAACCGGAGAACACATGGTAGTGCTTTAGAAAGCTGACATGAATAACATCTAAATCAAAAGGAAAGTGTTATTAACTTACCCACCAGACGAGGAGCGGTGACGACTGCTTGAAAAGATGTTACTAGAGCTCATTCATTAAATAGCGTCCATCACCTGTGTGGGGGAATTAGGCAAATAGGCGGAGCCTACTCAAACTGCAACCATAACGTCTAATGACGTCATCAAGCAATTCCCACCCCCAATTTAAATATAACCTGCAAAAATATAACCTATTTTTAAAGGTGTACCTTTAAACCATGCTTTAAGACGTTTTGGCTGAATTCTGAAGTTCCTATTTGGCTGACTTGATTTGCCCTATTTGTTAGTTTTAAATGATTCATTTAAAAATACTCAATAGCCTACATTTCAATATCTTCTCAATGCATATCATGCTTTTTTAATTAAAGAAATCTATGACTATGCAATAATGTGACAATTTGATCTGTGGTGGATAACTGGTGCTTTAACAATAACAGTAGCTTTATCCAAGGAAAAAACATTAAATTAAAAAGTTTCAAGGTTCAGTTTGAGGCTTTTGTTCTGGAACTTGAAGTGTGACCGTCATGAGGTCTTATATTCACATAGTGGCTTTATTCTTTAGTACAAACAGCTCACTTTTCATTTTACCTCATTATTTGGTGACACTTAATTTTGATCTAGGCCAAATGATATCGGTGTCAAGCTGAAGGAATCTAATGCTGCACAATGCTGTGCGTGGAATGAGTAATGTCTGTGGCTGCATGAGGCACGAGCTAGTTTTTTAGTACCATTGTGACAAGTAATACTCTCTAGTGTTTACATCATAAAACACGTTCAGTGTATAGCATCTTAAAATATATTGAGTTATTATTTATTTTTAGATAAAATGAAGTAACATCAATGTCAACACAAAGTAGTTAGTGTAGTGACTAAACAGAAGTAGTGACTAAACATCCACCACGTTCATTCATTCATTACTCTAAATGCTTCCTCATATGAGAGCGAAATCACGTGAGAGGTAAAACTGGCCTCCAAGATTGCAATACACCTTCTTTTCTTCCTCTTTTTTGTAAATATGCATTTTGTTCAACACATTGTCTGATTAATAATCTGATTAATAATTAATAGCTTCACAGAACCGACACAGAACATATACAATTAAATGTAATTCTGCCTGAGGTGATCAAACTTGGGAGTGAGAGGCACATTTTGTGCTTAATCTAGATAATAAAGTATCATAAAATAACAGAAAAATTACATTTAAACGGCAAGTTTAGTTTTCTTACAGTAAATTTACTACTTTGTTTTGTAACCTTGGCAACTTCTCGTATAGTAAACCTGTATTGATTTCTCCTCAAGAATCAATCGAGCACATCTGTTTCTCCAACACTCATTAACAGAATATCCCTACTATTATTTACGTCTTATTCCATGTACAGTAATAAAAAGAAAATGTAAACATTTTGATCACAAATTCACTGATACATTTTGATACATTTTACATTTATGCAATGATGGTGTCTTATGCAATTTAATAAACATCAATATTAGTTTGATCTTTTTTCTGTGACATGATTGCAAAAAATTAAGGGCCTGGTAAAGAAGGAACACGAATGGAAAATATGGAAACCATTTCTGTCATATAAGAAACAAAACGCATCAAAAGTCAAACTTACTATAATGATAATAATAGCATTAAACTATGTACTTTAAAGTCATAATGCCATAGAAAATAGCCTGTACTAAAACTTTTTAAGAAAATGTAGGATATATATTTATAACTATCTCAATAATATATTTTCTGAACCACAAAAAACGCCATGTTATTGAAATAATGACCTGATTTATTAGTTTTAAGTGAGTGAGCATGCAGTATTGCAGTTCATTACCCAAATTAAGGTAAGTATATATGCTTGAACACTTAGGTAAATAGGACTGTATTGATCGTCAAAGTGAGCATGTGTGTTTGTGTGTAGGCTATTGGCAACTAGGTCAATAAATCACTGTCTAGTTTGTCTAGTCACTGACTGAATTTATGAGTCAGCATTAATTCCTGTCCATCTGCCACCAGTGAGTCAGACAAACCGGTTTAGACAAACCTTGGGAGCTCCAGTTCCCCCCTCAATAGGACATGGAGTACAAATTGTATTGTTTTTTTAACATCTACCACAATCGTAACCCTACCGTTAGAGTAACCTATTGTCTTTTTTAATTATGTCTTACCTACCACCACCTTAAACCTATCCCTTAAAAGTAACCTGTTGTGTTTTTATTAATGTCTACACTTACCACAACCCTAAACTTACTCCTTGGTCTCAAACTCGATCCCTGGAGAACCGCTGCTCTGCACAGTTTTGCTCCAACCCTAATCAAACACAGCTGATACAACTAATCAAGGTGATTAAAACTACTACAGACTAAGCAGGTGTGAGTTGGAGGTAGTTGAAACTAAATTATGCAGAGCTGCTCCCTCCAGGAATTGAGTTTGGGACATTTGCCTAAAGCTGCGGTCACACTAGAGTTTGAGCTTGCGTAATTCTGTAGTACAGCGCTGCAAAAAGGGGTGGGATTAAACAAGAAGATTTTTTAAAAAGACATTTAAAAAAGCAAACGATTGGTCCATATTTAAAATTTTAAAGTTTATATCCTCATTGGTCTCACGCACTCAAGTGATGTTATTTCAAAGGTCAGAGTTCACCAAGCTTGAACTTTGCAACGCAGCGAACTGCAAAACTGTACCACGAGCTTGCGTTCCAGTCTGATGCATTTGTGTTTGTATGAATGGAAGTCTATAAGGAGAAAAGTCCAGTGTGAACTGCAGCTTTAGAATAACCTATTGTGTTTTATTTACGTCTACAATACCACAATCCTAAACCTACCCCTTACATG